GGGTAGCACTCCACATAGCCTCAGGGCCAAAGCCTGTAAGAGACACTAAATCCAATGTCAGACCAGCTACAAGGGATCAGAATCACTTAGGGGCCTTCAAAAGTTCAGGCTGGGGCTGGCAAGGTGGCCCAGAGGGTAAAGGGTCTTGCCACCAAGCCTAATGACCTGAGCCTCATCCCTGAGACCCAGTGGAAAGAACTTACTCCCACAAATTATTCTCTGATCTCCCACATGCATGCCATCACAAGAAGCACCTCAATAAATAAGTAATCAAAATTAAAAGTTCAAGCCGAAGGATCCTCCCCCGACATTAAATCAGGCTTGGAGGGTTCAGGCACAGCAAGGTGTATTTTTTTAAAGCCTCCTCCAGGGACTCTTTTAGAGAGATCTCTTTATGACTGAGGAGAAACTTGTGGCACAGATGGTTCCAGTCAAGTTCAAGGTCACACTGGCTCCGGGAGTTGGCATTTTCTTGGGGTGAGGCTGCTGCAGGGGGTCCGAGGCACAGGGAGGGAAGCACTGTGCTGCATTCCAGAGCAGAGCTGGCTGTGAGCAGCCAGAAAGAGTGCCAGCCTGGCTGAATGGATAATTAAACAGACAGCAAGACGGCATGCGGCCTCCACCCCTCCCCCAGCTGGCTGGGGGATAATACACCCTCCTGTCGTCAGAAGGAGCAGGAAGAAAAGCAACTGGACCTGGCTGCTGGCCATCTCACAATATTGCTTTTGTAAACAAGTTGAAAAATCCAATAACTGTAAAACTTATGGCGTGTCCTAAAAAGTCTGTCTCCATTTTCCCCATACATGGATGAGTGTTTCCAACTCAAGTTGTTCTAATTAAACAGTTCTATCCCTTCGGCGGCTAGGCTGTCCTCCAGGAGGGTCCATCATGCCTGGGGCTGAGGGTGGCCCTGTGGTAGAGGGCGCAGCCATGACGGTTTCCTCATGATGAGTAACTGGGCTGTCTTTCTGGGACTCACAACTCCTCCAGAGAATAATCCAGCTCCGACACAGAGGCAAAGTGGGGTTCCTGCTTAGAGAACCTATGATGAGAAGAGATCGCACCACACACACACACACACTTACACACTCTTAGTACTCTCAGGCACACACTCACACAGAGATGCTCACAAACTCACCCACTCACCCCACCATAGTCACACTCACACATAGACCATGCCCATAATCTCACCCTACACTCACACACACTGCCCTCCAGTAACAACCCCCTACATATAACCCTATGGATTGTTCCATGCACATACACGGTCCATATCCCCACTCAAACATTCACACACATTTTCATTTATAATCATTCTGCACACACATCACACACACACACACACACACACACACACACACACACACACACACAC